TCTTTCCTTACAGATCTGAACTTGTATCTTCAGGTACAAGGAGACAAGAGGCCTGGACCTGCCTGTACTCCATTCTGACCACATGCTCAGACAATGGCAACCTTCACCATTGGCAACTCAACACCAGATTAGAGAGCAGTCTCACCACCCATGCCACAGAACTTAAAGTAGAATGTGGAAGGCACCCCTCAAGGCTGCATGTGAAGGAGGAAGGTGGCCAGGATAGGGTTTGAGCCTGGCTGCAGGCAGCAGAATGATGACCAAAAGGAGCCAGCTGAGGGCTGCTGTATGAAGACAGACTCCATCTGTTCTGTCACGGATGCCCCACAATGGTATGGGCTGGGTGGCAAAGCAGTTCCTTTTTTCCCAGCAGATTTCCATCTAACAGAGCTGACAGTGACAGGGCACTTAACCCAGCCTACTTCCTGCCTCTGAGGACAAGAACCTAAGGCTCTACTCTGAAAATTAAAAATACAACCAGGCCTGGTGAGGAATGTGTTTACACTGAAGTGATGGAGTGACTATTCATGTAAAGTTGGGTTCTGAACCCAGTGGAGGAAATAAAGCCAACCTGCCAACCTTAAAGGAAGCAAAGCTGATCATGTCTCTCTCTTCTTCCTGCAACTACTTACTCTGCAGTAAGACCCATTCAGAAAAGAGCATTTACAGGAATCAACTCAACATTTTAAGCACAGATAAGATCAGAGAACCGTTCTGTAGTTGGAACATCCCTAGCTACCTGATTACACAGCACGTTTCCCTGCTAACGAACACCTTTGTGAAGTGGCTTTCAGAGGGCAGGGTTATATTTACAGGATACTACATGACCAAGTCCATAATCATCTCCCAAGAAATGAGCACTGGGAATAGTTATGAAACAAACCTTTCACTTCAGGATTCCATTTTTTACACACTGTCCTAATCTATGAAATCACTCTTTTATTCACTGACACACACCATTACAAGTAATGCAAGTTAATCAAACTCTCGTTAAAGTATCAACTCACTGTAACTGGGAGCCAAAGGATAGGCTGAATTGTGCTCACAAAACCCAAGAAACTTGCAACCTCTGTGATTCAGACACCTTTTTAAAAGTTGCAAAGACACTTCATACTAGAGGAGGTAGCAGCCAGGAACCTCAACTGGATCGTGAAAAATGGACTTGATTCAATCCTGGAAAACAAGCTGTTAGGTTTGAATCACTGTAGACTGACCTGTTGTTTGCTTTTGTTTTCTGTAGCTGCTCATCCTGTCTGGCATACCACTCTTCTAGCTCCTTTATTGCCTTTTCTTTCCACTCTGCTTCTTGCTTCCGAGAATTGGCATCTTTAAGGAGAGGGAAAAGAAAGACAATGGAAATGAGATAAAGTCCAAAGTTCAGTTCACTTCATCAGTGTATTTTGGTCTCACTGAATTTATGGCCAGTGCAGCAGGTATGTGTGTCTATGTGTTAGGGGAGAACAGCAGGGAGGGGAAGATAAAATTTTATTTTTCCTGTTTGTATTACTGACTCTAGATCTCAGCAATCCTATTCCTGAGATGCAATGTGATCAAGCTACCTTTTCCCAGTTCACTGACATCTGCTTTGTCTTGTTTTGGGCAGGGGGAGAGGAGTGGGAAATACTGACTTTCCATAGCAAAAAGTCTTTTGGGGAACCAGCTGGGTTTAGATAAAGCAATGACAGATGATCCTTTAATAATTCTGTCAATATTAGTTCAGGGTGGGATATTTATGTAAATAATGCTCTTAAAAAAAAAAAAAAGTTTTCTTTCCCCCAATAGGGTAAGTTAACTTGCTAGGAAGAGAAAAAAAGTGAGAAATCACCCCTGGGGGCACGACCATGCCGCAATCCCTTCTCTTCTATTCTCCTCCTTGGATCTTGGGCACACATGCACAAGTTCCCAGCACGATTTTCAAACCACCAGGTCCGGGACTCAAACTACAGTCAGCCATGTGGGAGTCCAGCCTTAACCACCACGTTACCTGCTGGTGCCACAATATTGTAGATAACCTTTTAACTTTTCTCATGATCCCTAGCCTACACTCCAGGTTTGATAATTAATGGTTTTGGAAACAAACACAAGATGTTAAGATAGTGCTGGATGTCACATGACTGAAGCACTTCCATGAAAGAGGGAGCTATTAGGAAAATTACCAGAGGGAGAGATGATGATGTAACCAGATAATGGTCTAATATAGATTAGAGTTGAAGAGGACCACAAAACATTCATTCCTATTTAGACTGCAGCATTACTTCATAGCATAGCCAGGAAAGGCACAGTACGAAAGAAATCCACTGGAGAGAACTGCAGGGAGTAGGGGTGTGAGATCAATAGCAGTTAACCAAAGGGTCTCGAGATGAGGACGAGAAAATGCACACCTAGCATTTCCATCAGACTTGACTCCTGAACATGAAGTTTCATAGGACTAAATATGGTTTTTCCCTAAGACATTTAGTCGAGAGACATACGTTAGTATATGATGGTAGATGAAGAAATACATGTTGCAGCAGCTGTGCAATGAACACTTGAAGTTACTCTGATACTGCATTTTAAAAATGTTCTTAAGAACATCCTTCTTGGGGACCAGTGAGTGGCATGGTGGTTAAAGTACTGGACACTCCCACATGGCTGACTATGGTTCAAGTCCTGGACCTGGTGGCTTGCTTTCTCACTTTCTCTCTGTGAGTCTCTCTCTGGTCAAATTAAAATAAATGAATGAATAAATAAAATTAAATAATTCTTAAAATATTAAAAAAAAAAAAGAACATCCTTCTTGGCAGGTACTTTGCAGATGTTTCATTTAAACCTTGCAACAATCCAAGAAGGAAAACTCTAATCACATTTTTAGCATTGAGAAAAACTAAAGCTCAGAAAATGTGAGTGAATGCATCAATATTCAAACTTAGGTCTGCGGGCCTACAGGTAGCGTGGAGGTTAAGGGTGCTAGACTCCCACATGACTGACCACAGTTCGAGTCCCAGACTTTCTCATTTTCTTTCTCTCTCTCTCTGTTCCTCTCTGGTAAAATTAAAATAAGAATTAAAAAGCTAAATAAAATAATTCTTTAAAAATACAAACAAACCCAGGTCTCACTCTAAAGATCATATTTTACTTCCATTTTCATGCCACTTCCAAAGTGAGGGACAGGGTCAGCCCCTTAGCCTAGTAGTTAAGGAAGATGTATGTCACATGACTTGAATCCTAGACCTGGAGGCTAGGCCAAAGGCATGTGCATGCATGCCTAAAATCCCAAGAGAATGAAGAAATGCAGGAGAAAGAGATTAAGGTGTGACCATACCTCAAGAGAGGCTTGCTAATACTCTCTATAGTGAGTACAGATACTCTCTGGCAATTAAAAAAAAAAAACAACACACACACACACACACACACACACACACACACACAAAGGGAGGGACAGAAAGAAAAGCAAGTCTCAGAATAATCACAACCTGTGACTAGGAAGAGGCCATGAGTGATCCGGACAGTTTTAGAAGTGTAGAGCAAGGCTCCATCTGTAATTACTGTATTCAAGGAGAGATCTTTAACTGTAAGTAGCAGTTTAACAGCAGCTAAAACTCTCTCCAAGTTTCAGAATAAAATGAACTTTTCTTTGTTATCCAACTTATCAGAAGGAGAAGCATTTTACATAGTTTTCCACTGATGACTCTGAAGTATACAGAGTAACCTTATAGTATCTCTGTCCATGGAGTTAAGTGTATATGTGCAATGGAAGATGCTCTGCTGCAATGCGAGATGGTATGGGCTGATGGTGCTTTGTGGACCAGAAACGGAAAAATACCACATTAAAATGCTAGAATCTCCTTTTCTTTTTTTTGTAAAAAAAAAAAAAATAATAATAATAAGAAGAATTATTTTATTTAACTTTCATGATCCATTTATTTATTTTTTTAAATTTGACTGGAGAAGGACAGAACGAGAGCAAGCAAATCGCCAGGTCCGCGACTTAAACCGAGGTCAACAATGTGGGAGTCCAGTACCCTTAAACACACCACCTGCCGGCCCCTAGAATTTCCTTTTCAATGGTGGTAAAATCACTTCCAAAATTTAACTTTTTGGTTGAAGAATATTTTCTCTCAATGGTATTAAGGTTTTTGCTATAGGGCATGTGCGCTTGCTGGAGACTGAGAACAAAGAGGAAAAATGAGAAATCACCCCTCGTGGGGGAGGCTATGCTGCAATCCCTTCTACTCCATTCTCTGCTCAGGATTTTGGGCACGAGTGCGCACGCACGCATGCACGCACACACACACATGCCCAGCGTGAATTTCGAGTCACCAGGTCCAGGACTCAAACAATGGCCAACCATGTGGGAGTTCAGCACCTTAACCACAATACCACCTGCTGGCCCCTCTCAAAGTATTATAATGATATTTAGATGTTTTTATTACAGGGACCAGCAGATGGCATGATGATGGTTATGTTGCTGTAGTCCCACATAATCGAAGTGGTTCAAGTCCTGGACCTGCCAGCTTAAAATGCACCAGGCATGTATGCACATGCCTGAAGTCCCAAGAAGAGAATGGAGAAGGGATTGTAGCATGGCTAATTTCTCAGTCTGTCTCTCCAGCGAGCACATGCGCCCTACAGCAAAAATCTCTTTACAGGGGTCAGCAGGTGGTGTGGTAGTTAAGTGCTCTGGACTCCCACATGACCAACCACAGTTCTTGTCCCAGACCTGGCAGCTTGCTTTCTCGCTTTCTCACTTTCTCTCTCTCCAGCCCACTCACACTGCCGTCTCTGGTCAAATTAAAAAATAACATGAACATTTATCTGTGAAAAATTAATCTTTTTTAAAATAAAAACGGTGACCATCTATCTGTATAGATTATAGCTGGTATACAAGACAATACACTTAAATTGTCTTCTGGCTTTTATAAGTTTTAGAACCACTACTGGCAATTTAAGTTCAGAATTTTTGGGCCAGCCTCATAGCCTAGTGGTTAAGGGAGCAGGATCCCAAGTAGCCAATTTTGGTTTAAATCCCACCCCAATGGCTTGAAAAACATGCCAGGCATATGCACGAGCCAGCCCCAAACCCCAAAGGGATAGAGAAATGGAGAAGGTATTGCGGCATGACATCCTATGGGGGGGTACTTTCTTCCCATCTCTTCTGGTGAGTGCACATGCCCTTTTGCAACTAAAAAAAAAAAAAAAAAAGAAAAAATTAATTCTGGGGCCAGTAAGGTGGTATAGTGGTTAAGGCACTGGACTCCCACATGGTTAACCAGTTCAAGTCCTGGACCCGGCGGCTTACTTTCTCACTTTCTCTCTAACTCTCTCTGGTCAGATTAAAAATAATAATAATAATAAATAAAATTAAACAATTATTAAAACCAAAACAACAACAAAAGGATTCTAAATCCTTCAATGCTCAGCTCAACAGAACAAAGATCCAAACTTGAATGTAATCTCTGAGTCTGCGAGGGAGCAGTGTGAGGGAAGGGTAAAGAGCCCTCTGAGAGCAAGGCACACCAACAGGCGCCGGCTTTGCTGGACACTCACGTTATTGTTCACAGAAAAGAAAATCATTTGAGAATGCATCAAGCAGTGATTACAAACCACTGACATGGGTTCTTTATATTTAGTTTCTCATGCTTTCTCCTAGCACTTGCAAGGAAGAAAGATGAGACTGAAGAAAAATACCTTGTCACAGACCAACTGAATTCAACTGAATTACAATGCAAGGCCAAATGTTATGGAAACAACTTCATGGAGTATTCCTGAAGTACCCAATTTAATCACTGAAAAAAAGAAAATGAAACTTTTCTAGACACCAAAATGGCTCTGTACAGAGAAGAAAATTTTTGCTCAACTTTAGATAAAAGAAAATAGAAAGTTGGGTTCTGTAACATGAAAAATACTCCAACAGTACTAATAACAACTATGTCTTGCCTCTAGTCCTACTCAAAAGAGACACAGAGACATCAGGTGGTACAGAGATTAAAGTAGCTGGATACCACATAGTCAACTCTGTAGTTTGAGTCTCAGATCCAACAGCTTGAAAAATCTCCAGGCACATGTGTGTATGTACCCAAAATCCCAAGAGGAAAATGGATGAGAATGAAAGGACTGAAGCATAGCCATCTCCACTAGGGCATGATTTCTCACGCTCTCTCTCACAAGTGCATGCACCCTATATCATTTAAAAAACAAAACAAAACAAAAGAATGAGAAAAAAGAACAAGCAAGGACCATAAAGACTTATTTTCATCTTCCTAAAGCTGCACTATTCAATATGATAGCTACTAGCTGCACATGGCTACTTCAATTTATTAAAATTAAAGAAAATTTGAAGAGTTTCTCAGTCACACTAGCCACATGTCACTGTGATACTGGATGGAGTAAATACAGAGTAACTCCACCATCAAAGAAATCACTACTGCATAGTGTTACGTGTGCTCAAACGTCAGTATGCTCTTTGTTCTAAAAGCCATATAAATTGGATTAGAGAGAAAAAGATCTGGCACTAATCGGCTGTGTTATCTAGGTCAAGTCCCTTCCTATTTCTGTGGGTCAGTTCCCCATCTGAAAAATAAGTACTCGTGCTTTCACTAGTTCAGTGGTTTTTAAGAGAGAATACTGCTGATGTGGTAACATAGAATGTCATTATTTTGGGGAAACTACATGAAATCTTTACACTTGAAGTATGTGATGTACGTATTTTAAATCAGACCAGTCAAAAAACTTTGTGTATTCCTCATTTATATAAGGATTATACAATATGGTGAAATGTTAATTAAGGGTACACACATATTCATTTCCCTTTTTAAAAAAAAAAAAAAAATTTATTTATTTATTTATTTAAACAAACAAACTTGACCAGAAAGGAACAGAGTCACCAAGTCTGGGACTTAAACCAAGGTTGGCCATGTGGGAGTCCAGTGCTCCCAACCACCACACCACCTGCCGGCCCCCATTTTCTTTTTCTTTTTTTTTCTTAAAAATTATTTTTATTCGGGACCAGCAATGGCTATGTCGCTGGACTCCCACGTAGTCAACCATGGTCTGATTCCTGGACCCAGTGGCTTAAACTCATACCAGGAGCGTGTGCATGCATGCCCAAGATCCCAAGAGGAGAATGGAGAATGGATTGCGGTGTGGCCATCCCCAGTGGGGGGTGATTTCTTGCCTTCTGTCTCTGTTTCTCTCTTTCTGGTGAGTGCACACACCCTATAGCAAACACCTCTCAATAAAAAGAATTATTGGGAACCAGTAGTTAGCGTAATGGCTATGTCGCTGGACTCCCATGTAGTCGAACGCGGTTGCGTCCCGGACCCGGTGGCTTCAAACTCACACCGGGCGCGTGTGCGTGCGTGCCCAAGATCCTGAGAGGAGAATGGAGGAGAAGGGATTGCAGCGTGACCATCCCCCAGGGGGGTGATTTCTCGCTTTCTGTCTCCCTCTGTCTGTCTGGTGAATGCACGCGCCCTATAGCGGAAAAAAAAAAGAAAACCTCTCCAAAAAAAAAAGAAAAAAGAAAAAAATATTTTTATTTAACTTTATTTACCCATTTATTTATTTATTTGTTTAAATGTGAGCAGAGAGGGATAGAGTGAGCGAGAGAAAGTAAGAAAGCAAGCCACTAGGTCCAGGATTCAAACCCTGGATGGTCATGTGGGTGTCTATCGATCGTAACCACCACACCACCTGCCAGTCCCTTTCCTCCTTTCAACTGTTTTGCTTGACTTTTTTTTTTTTTTTTTTTTGCAGAGGGCACATAGTACTTGGCAGAGGAAGAAAGTGAGAGAGGGAGAAAGTACCTCTCAGTGCAGTGTGGTCACACCACAATCCCTTCTACTCCACTTATCCATCCTGTGTATGCACATGCACCTGGCATGTTTTTCAAGCCACTGGGTTGCAATTCAAACCTCATGGTTGGTCATGTGGCAACTGACTTCCTTAACCACTAGGCCACAGGGCTGGCCCACTATCTGACACTGTAATATGAAATTAAGAAAAGAATATAAGGTGGAGTGGACCAGCAGTTAGCATAATGGCTACATCGTTGAACTCCCATGTAGTCAACTACGGTTCGAGTCCTAGACCCAGTGGCTTAAACTCACACCGGGCACATGCCCAAGATCCTGAGGGGAGAATAGAGGAGAAGGGATTGCGGTGTGGCCATCCTCCCTGGGGAAGTGATTTTTTGCTTTGTGTCTCTCTGTCTGTCTGTCTTTCCAGCAAGTACATGCACCCTATAGCAAAACAAACAAACAAAAACTTAGGGAAAAAAAGATTCAAATACTTATTCTACCTATGATCATTGATTTTCTCATCCACCAAAATAGAAAAACTTCCCTCATATGAGTATTAGAGTTAAGAAAAACAAACTGCACATGTTTCCTAACAGACCTCATGTTACTTTAAGTCTTCAAATGATACCAAAAAAAAAAAAAGCACAAAGCACACTCATGCATACCACCTCAGATTACCCCTGAGGTCAGTAACACTTATCTTTCTTCACAGATGATGACATAGACACTGAAATAATTCAGCAATCACATGTCCACAACTGGTAAGTTAAGCCTGGGTCTTAAACCCAGTCTTTCACTTCCAACCCAGAGCTTTCTGCTTTCCCTTTGAGAGAAGAGAATGCACCAGGTGGTTCTCTGGGCTACCCAATTTCCTCACACTATGGTCCATGATTAAGTACTGCCATGGGGGTGACCTTGTGACATTTAGGCTGGAAAAGATATCCTCCCCAAACCAGACGAGGATAGTATAGCTAATTAAAGTTAAGCATAGATAACAATAAGGTTTAGGTCAACTATTCCACTGAAAACAGACACTCAAAGAGAGAAAGCAACTCCTTACCAAGGGCTTCCAAGCGTTCCGTCTGCTCTTCCCTCCATTTACGGATACTTTCAGGCTCTGATTGCAATCGGTCCACTTGTGAAATAGCTGCATAGTTGTCTGTCGGACCATTACTCTCCTTAACACAAAACACAATTTTGCTGTCAGTACCAAAAACTCCTTCCTGAAATGTGGTTCATCAACCAATTACAACTTCTGGTTACATACAACACTGGTGGCTGTCACAAAACGTTAAAAGACCACCTTAAAGTCAACAACACAGCCTTACATGCAACAGAGATATTTCAACATTACTACACTTAATCCTTACAAGTGCATCGATGAAGGAGAGTAGTCAACATCTTATAGGACCAGAGTGAGAGATAAGAAAGTTGGGGGCAGGTAATGGACTTCTTAGGAAACAGCATTATCAGTTTGTTTCCTCACTTGACACAGAGATTATGTGTGGTTTTCAAAGTAGAAAAGTATGCAGCAAACCAAGGCCTACAACCTAAGACTTCTTAATACTGCCGTACCACACAGGAAAAAAAGGTCATTTAATACCACCCTAATGAAAATATAGTTAATCCTATGAAGAGAGTCCAAAAGAAAATGTACAGATATGACAGTCACACCAGGGAAAGAAGGATAAAAATGCAGGCAAATGTGAGTCACAAGGAGTGAGGAAGTCTCTTTACAGTGGGTAGGATTTGGAAGCTAATAAATTAATAAAGGCTGCTCAAAAAGATGTTCATCTTTAGAGATTTCACCTGTTGAACTACAGAATATTACCAGGCTAACCTAACTGGACTATAAACAAAGATTTAAAAAAATAATTACTTAAAGCATTAGTAACTACTTTATTACAGTGCTTGACACAGCACACGGCACGATAATATTTAAATTAGCCATCAACATCATCATCATGAAAGGTCATTTCTTGGGACTAAAGGTGGTAACACTAGGAACAGGTCAATGGCATTTTAAAATAATGCTCTTGTAACAGTGCCATTTCTTTAAATCCTTCCACTTTGGTAAGTAACATACCAGCTACTAGTATATCCAGGAAAGTCAAAGATCTGGGGTCTCTTTCTAGGTCAGTCAATTCAATCACAGGAAAGGAAGACTCTTGGTCATTATCATTCAACATAATCAGAGTACTCTGTACCTGGTAGTATTCACCATTCATTACTCCATCAACAGCATCTGCAAGACATAAGATTTCAGTCAGTCAATCAGAGTTGGTCAGACACTGGGCCAAAAGGCTACATAGTGGAATACAGTATTGTATGCTCTAAGTACCATAAGCTACTAAATGCTATACCTAGGACTGGGCCTGTGGCCTAGTGATTAGGGGAGCCAGATCTCACACAGCAGACCACGGTATGAATCCTGGCCCTTGCAGTTTGAAAAATACACCAGGCATATATGTCTACATGCTCTAAAACCCAATAGGATGGAGAATTGGAGAAGGAATTGTGTCATAACCATGTCCCATTGGAGGGTGCTTTCTCCTCTGGTGAACCCACAAACACTATTAAAAAAAAAAAAAAAAAAGTGATGGTAGGTACTAGATTTAACAACTTCCTTTTGCATGAAATTGAGATGTGCTGAGGCCAGCAGGTGGCATGGTGGGTTGAGGCGTTGAACTCTCACATGGCCAACCACAGTGTGAGTCCCTGGATTTGGTGGCTTGCTTTCTTACTTTACCTTTCTCTCTCTCTGGTCAAATTAAATAAAAATAATAAAATAATAAATAATTCTTTAAAAAATAATAAAAAGAAAACAAGATGTGCTTATACACAAATGACTTCACCAAGATGTGGCCAAATCGGTCCCTAACCTCCTGAGTCCAAAAGTATCTGAGATTCTATTTTCTGGCTTAGAGCAATTACAAATCAAAGCCTGGCAGATGAGTCTCAAACAGCCAACAGTGCTTCTCTATGAAAGTTCTGGAAAAAGTTAAGAAAAAGCATGGCCTGGAATCATTCACAGTGAGCAGAAACATGCAGCTTCTTATTTAAACAATGTGTTTTCTAAGGGTTATGCCTCTCTATCCTATACCTGGAGTACGTTTTGCACACAAAGATCTACAATTCAGAATTCTTGTTAATTTCTCTCGTCTACATGGAATTAGTCCTAAACAAGTAAGACTTGAGGATGCCAAATTAAGTCAGAGCTTTCAAGGATTTAAGTTACAAAAATTCAAAATATGATACAGCTGATTCTATGTATCAGTGGGTTTCACAGGCTTCGATTCAACCAAATACAGATGAAAATACTAAAAAAAAAATCAGCTGCATCTGTCCTGAATTATTTTTCTGGTTATTATGTCCCAAATGAAACAGTACAATTTACATAGCATTTATACTGTATTAGTATTACAAGTAATCTAGAGATGATTTAATGTACACAGGAGGATGTGCACAGGTTACCTCCCAACTCTATTGTTTTACAAGGAGGAGCTTCAAAAAGTTCATGGAAAATAAATCTTAAAAACTAAATGCATGAAATTAAAAAAAAAAAATTCGGAGGCAAAATAAACTTGTATGTTAACTCCATTTTCTATGAACTTCCTGAAGTCCCCTCTTAAAATGCACCCACGAATTTTTGTATCTGCATTGGGTTCTAAAACCAATTCCCCACTGATACTGAAAGACGACTAAATCATCAGTCTTTTGACATAGTTAACTAGTCTAGAGCTAAATCTAAAAATAACCTCCTACATAGTATAAAATGATGGTCTATGAGCCGAACATATTTTATTTACTTACTCATTAACTTATTTATTTGTAATAATGTACAAGTACTTGCTGGGGCAGGTGAGAAAGCACCCCCGAGACAGGATGACCACACCACAATCTCTTTTTTTTTTTTTGGAGAGGTTTTTGCTATAGGGCGCGTGCGCTCGCCAGACAGACAGAGAGACAGAAAGCGAGAAATCACCCCCCGGGGGGATGGCCACGCCGCAATCCCTTCTCCTCCAGTCTCCTCTCGGGATCTTGGGCACGCACGCACACGCACCTGGCGTGAGTTTTAAGCCACTGGGTCCAGGGCGCGAATCACGGTCGACTATGTGGGAGTCCAGCAACATAGCCATTACGCCAACTGCTGGTCCCACCACAATCTCTTTTCTTCCATTCTCCTCTCAGGATTTTGGGCAGGCATACATATGCACTCAGCAAATTTTTCAAGTCATCAGGTCTGGGACTAGAACCACGCAGTCAGCCATGTGGGATCCAGTCATCCATCACCAGCTGGCCCCAAACATATTTTATTTAAAATACAAAATAAAGGGGCTAGCAGGTGGCATGGCAGCTAAAACACTGGACTCCCACATGGCTGACCACAGTTCAAGTCCCAGACTTAGTGGCTTGCCTTCTCACTTCCTCTCTGGCGAGTGCATGTGCCATATAGCAAATTTTAAAATACAGTAATAATAACAAATACATAAAATTAAACAAGTAACTCTTTTGAAAACTACAAAGTATTAAGTCATAAAACTTAAAAAACAAAAAAAAAAAAAAAAAAAAAAACACCCCCAAAACAGGATTTCAGGGACAGCAGGTGATATAGTGGTTAAGGTTCTGGATTCCCCCATGGCCAACTGGGCCAAGTTCTAGACCTGGTGGCTTGCTCTCTGACTTTCCCTTTCTCTTTCTTTGTTTTCCTCTGGTCAGTACACATGTCCTGTAGCAAATTTTAAAATATAATAATGATAATAATAATGATGATGATAACGATGACAAAATTAAATATATAATTCTTAAAAACAAGACTGCCAGAGTTTTTTAAATGGTGGGAGAGAGGGAAGCAGTCAAACAGAAGACCTAGCAACACTGGGCCTGGCCTATACTCCTGAACTGGCAATAACTGTCTGGAACCAAGGGTAAGATTTTTTTTTTTGAGAGGTTTTCGCTATAGGGCTCGTGCGCTCGCCAGACAGACAGAGAGAGACATAGAGACAGAAAGCGAGAAATCACCCCCCAGGGCGGATGGTCACACCACAATCCCTTCTCTTCCATTCTCCTCTCGGGATCTTGGGCACGCACGCACATGCGACCGGCTTGAGTTCCAAGCCACTGGGACCGGAACGCGAACTGCGGTCGACTACATGAGAGTCCAGCGACATAGCCATTACGCTAACTGCTGGTTCCCCCGAGGGTAAGTATTTGGGTGGCATATGCTCTGATCAGCTTTCTAGTCTCTCTGGTCCCACTGCCTTTCTTTTTAAGACTCATTCTATGTCTCACTAATTCAGCTACCTGGTTGGTCCCCAATAAGCATGAGTTCCTAACCCATATCCTGACCCAATATTCCCCTCAAAAGGGGGGTCTGACAGGCCTGCAGGCTGTCCCTGTGGAACAGCTGCTCTGAATCCCCTTCCAAGTTTGTTTATTTCTATGACAGAGACAGTCAGTCACCCCTAAACAGAGTCTTCACACCATGATCTACTCCAGTCTCAGCTGGCCTGCACCACAGGCACATGTGCCTGATGTGCTCAGGGAGATCCTGGGATGTGAACTCAAGATCTTTCCCATGTGGGTTCAGTTACATCACCACTGTGCCACTGCCTAGCCCTCTGCTATCTCTTGAAAGTCACAGTGTAGTGGGAACCAGCAGTTAGCATAATGGCTACGTCGCTGGACTCCCACATAGTCGACCGCGGTTCGCGTCCCGGACCTGGTGGCTTAAAACTCACGCTGGGTGCGTGTGCGTGCGTGCCCAGGATCCCAAGAGGAGAATGGAGGAGAAGGGACTGCGGCGTGACCATCCCCCCTGGGGGATGATTTCTCGCTTTCTGTCTCTATGTCTCTGTCTGTCTGGCGAGCGCATGCACCCTATAGAGAAAATCTCTCCATAAAAAAAAGTCACAGTGTAGTCACCACCAATATAAATTTTCACCTACTTACCCTATTGTTTACTGGTTGGCCATATTTACTACCTAAGACTTCTATTATTTTATCCTAAATTTTCCAAACTTCAATGACTGTCTTGTTGCATGGAGTGGGAGAGGGAAAAGAAAAGATGAACTTAAGTGATACAAGAAACCCAGG